TGTTAAAAAATTCCTCAATCTGCCTCTCACAGTATATGAAATACGTCATTTTTACCAAAATGACGTCATCTATACAAGTTCATCGCAATCAGTGCTTTATTTATAACCAGCTACATGGGATTTAACTAGCAACTTTTTTTAATGCATTGATAAGTTTTTTTGTTGTTTATTATGCTTAAACAGTTAAAATTTGCAAATTATTTCATTTTTAGATATTAAGAGAAATACATAAAAGTCATATTTTTGTGTGACGTCACAGTAAACTTTTCCCGTATAAATTAGGCCCCGTTCCTTTTTTCAAGCCTTAACAATGCTGCGTAAACATTTTGCTTTTGACATTAGGTACCATGAGTTCCATCTTATCAATGGAATGAACTTCAAATATCGACAAAATAAATGTTTCTACGTATGAAAATGTATTGATCTTTATCTTGTTTTTATATTCCTTGGTGTTCTCAGAATGAAAATGCATTGGTTATAAGGATATATTTTGTAATGTATTTTAAGTCCTGGACAACATTTAATCAAAAGTTTACATTATACGAGCGTTGTACTTGTTGTTGTTGTTGCTGTCGATGGTGATGTTTTATTGAGGGGAGAGGGGTGGAAGAAAACTTTGTTTCTCTTCCTTTTAAAAAAAAAATATTTAAGTATTAACCTCGTTTTTTATCGTTCATGCTCGATTATTCATTGAGGATTTGAACTTTTATCTACTTTTATGTTTAACCAATGTTAATTCGTCGTTGTATTTACAATGCTATAGGAGGCATAAAGGGAGTTTTCTACATCTGTCTCCATTCTATCACCATTGTCTTTTGAGTAGCATTTCCATAAGATTAATGATGACCAGATCTATTATGACCGGTTCTATAATTATCCTTTGGTAGTTCCTATCATTGTTATTGGGATTCAAATTTGCCATTTATTGAATCAAAGGCTAACAATGCACGTATACATGTCAGATTCAGTAGTTACATCAGAATAAAAAATCTACTTCATTTGAAAAAGACATTATAGGCGGCCAGTTTTGTATGTATTTCAAAGTTTTTACCATATTATTCAAAGAATTTTACAATGCATTCAAGCACAAATAACCTAATCAGTATATTTGTTTATTGATGGCATAGACTTTTGATTGATTGTATATTGTTTAACGTCCATCTCGAGAATTTTCGACTCATGTGGAGACGCCACCACTTGCTGGTTGAGAATTGCAAATTTTTGTCCTATACTCTGCACTTAGGGCCATTAAGCAGAGAGGGATCTTTTTCGTGCCGGCACCTACTGCGACACGGGACCTCGGTTAATGCGGTCTCATCCGAAGGACCGGTCTCTTGGTCCCACAGTGGAATTCGAGCCGCGACATAAGGATCTATCCTTACTTCGCGACTCTAGAGCAGATGCATTAACAACTGGGCCACGCGGACGACCATAGACTTTTGAAAATCGAGAGAAAAAATTCGTATATTTTAAAGTTTACAAATTTCATTTGATTAAATCCCGACCTTTGCTGTTTAAGCGATGTGTACTTAAAATAAACACAATAAATGTCTACAGATAATAAAAACAATGAACATCTTTATCTACAGACGATTACATATATTGTAAATGAAGAAACACACATTGATCAGTTAAGCACATATTAATGTAAATAATGAAATAAACAAGCATTAGCTTATCATATGTTCATAATCTTATTATCCGATAACATAGGGGAGCCTTCGAGCTAGTTAAATCAGTAAAATAAATCCGGATGGACATCAAAGCTACTTTTTCTTTTGATTTCTTTTGTCTCTATATGCAAAGTGGATATACGTCATATCTATGGTTTAAACTCCGGCTTGGAAGACTTCGTAGATGATGTCTCGATTTGAGCTGTCGTCATCAGTAACAAACTGGACCCAGGCTGCTACCATTTCACGCAGAGGCACCAATTCCTTATCAAAACGTTTGAAGGTCTTTGTTACAAGGTCTTCGTTCTCGTGGCCAAAAGCCTTAAAAGCAAAAATGAATTCCTTGAGTTCGATGGAGCAGTCTTTGTTTGTATCAATGACGTCAAAAATCATTTCGAAACATCTCTGTATGTGCGCCTTGAAGTCTACCTTGTCCTGTTTATAGATGGTCGTTAAATTAGACAGGAACTGCCCTTCAGTTAACTGGTGTTCGCCTTTGAGAATGTACGTTGTCCACCAGCTTTCCACGTCCGTTCGGACTGTCTCGGCCTTGTCGCCTAGAAGATGATGTAGATCTGTAAACTTATTTCGGGACTCCTCGACATCTTGTAGTGAGATCTTACCGTCATGATCGACATCCAGGGACTTGAACCACATCTTCCATTTCTTTGTCAAATAGTCCATCCTCTCTTAAAACAAATAGAGAAAAAAATATGAGAAAGGTCTCTTTCTAATTGAGAAACATTTTATTTCCACAAGTTTACATTTGAGCAGAGAAAGTGACATTTGTTACATGTAATGGGTGATTTCAACATGCCCAAGGTCATTTTTACAAAACTGCAAATAGGCACTTCACAAAATTACAATAATCCACTAAAAATGCAAATTGGAAAACACGGACTTCTAAAAACATCAGAGATATTTCAGAAGTTGGATGGGGTGCCACAAAGTAGTAAGCGTCCTTTGTCGAGCAGACATAGCTCAGATTGACCAAAGTTTTGGTACAGTGGCTCTGTCAAATAACTTAGAAATAGCCGTTTTGATTCAAACAGTTTAGGTTTTAATATTTCTTTGACGGAGAACAACGATATAGATAACATGGTTTTGGTAATGGATTCTTAAAGCATATTTTAACAGAATCCTAATAGATTTTTAGATTTCCTAGTCTTAGATTCTACACCAAAGTTGCATAATGAAAAGTTGGAAATTTGTACATATAGTTTATGTTTAACTTAGTGGAGGATGAACGAAGCAAACAATACAATTAAAAATATTTCTAATACAATTAAGTAAAAACAAAAGTAAAATAACCCGTTAATTGAATGAGTGTGAAAAAATATAAACATTCAATTATGATCAATTCCCCTATACATTGTGAGCATGACATTTGACGTTCACACTCCTACAATCATATACTAGACTAAGTACTTGTATTTTAAATTTCAAGCAATCAACATGTACAATTCCAACAAATGATCATGTAAATATAGTATTTTTTCAAAAGATCAATAAAAGAGAAAAGTATTTTGTTTTAAAAATAAATTATACTCAGCTATAAAATGAAAGATTTCGTTCTTTTAAAAGAAAATGGATTGAGGGGTTCCGGGGCTCTCACTTTCAAAAAGATTGAAGACTTTTAAGAAAGGAAATAAAATCTGGAGCTGTGCCGCCTACTTCAAATTTGCCACAGTTGGGAGGCATTTCATTCTGATTAACGTTCACGTGAGAAAGAAATAATTTATTCAATTTATGAAATAGAAAAATCCGCATCTAAAATGCGAAACATATACATGTATGGTGTAGAAGACTATGTCATATGCCAAACCTGAATTTTATATTAAAAATATAAATAACTCAGAACTTTCAGATTAAGACAATAATATTCAGAAAACAGGGGAAGTCCAATATTTGGTGAGCATAGTTAAACAGAATCCTACTTTTATTTTTAGATTTCATTGTTTTAAATTTTACATCAACACAGTAAAATGATAAGTTGGAAAATTGTACATATAATCTATGTTTAAATTCGTGAAGGACCAACAAAGAAAACTACACACACAAAAAAATAAAATCAATTAACTAAAAAATATACCTTGTTAATTAAATAATTGCAAACGAATATACACATTCAATTGTCTTTATGTCATAAAATGGATTTTAAAAAAAGCAGTATAATGTAGTAGAATATGTACGATACCAAACCTGAATATTGTATTAAAAAATATAAATAACTTAAAACTCACAGATTAGAAAATAATCTTCCGAAAACAGCAGAAGTCCAATATTTGTTGAGCAGAATGAAGTTGGATGTAATCTACGAGCTTCACAGACGTTAAGTGCATCATTTGCAATGAAAACAGTTTATATCATTTAACGGACTTTCATTACAGGGATTACATGTTTAAATCAAAAAAAAATATGTCGTAATGAATAAATAGTGAAGGGTTGAACAAAAAGCAAAGTCATACCTTTTGTATACCATACTCGGTGTCCTTTATTTCAAAAACAGTTATCGGTGTTAATGGCAATTTAACAACAAACGAGATAATTTAAACGGTTCAATTGCCAACTCCTCTTACTGATGCAGCATAATACCTTCATTATCTGCACACGGGGTTTATATATCTTAGTTGATTCGCTATGCAATAGCATGCACACCGTATTAACAATTTCTAAAACGAGATATATTATTGACAACAAAATCAAAAGTCTCGTTTAAAAAACATTTCGTAAGTACTACGGCTGATACAAAGCAAAACACAAGATAAAATACAATTTATCATTAATTTAACGAGGCCGAGTCTAATTATTTCTGCCCTAGGGATTTTGAGAATTAATTTTTACTGTTATATTTATTGCTTTCGGGTTAAAGAATCAAATGATTACCACCCCGATTTCTTAGGGGGTCATCTCAAAAGTTGTCAAATTTTACTATTGTACCCTGTGGGAATTTGTTTGAAAATTGCCAAATTTTCACAATTTTCCCATTGTTTTTGTATTTCTGCCCTAGGGATTTCTTTTTCATTCAAGTATATGAAAGTTTTTATAAAAAGTCACCAAATTGTGAAATTTCAAAAATGTTCACCATCTAGGTTGGTCTAAGTAGTAATTACTTAATTTATTTTTTCGAAACCCAATACCTCTAAAATTTCCATATTACGATATAAATACTTCTCTTTGCAGATGAATTATCGGCGCATAAAATTTTTCGGTAAAATTAGCCATTTTTAGATTGCTAGTATGTTTCTTGGGAAGTTCTGTCATGAGACTTTAGTGTAATATCCATGGACGTCTTGAACATACAAGCGAGTCATCCGTCATTAATCTTCAGCGTCATGCATTGCTTCCAAAATCCGAAAATGGTGACGTTGTTAGAGCCATTCCAACGTTCTTTTTCCAATTATTTTCGTAAAATCACATTTTCAGATCAATAGGAGTTAAAGATTATGTTAATTATGTATTAAAATCAAAATAATGATCAAAGATGTACTGTCACACAAATGACTGCATGAAATTAAAAAGCTGTGCAAAGTGATGCGCACTCGAATTAGACTCGGCCTCGTTAAATGCTAACTTACGTTTTTCATATGAATTGTATATGTAAGGTCATTATATACACACTGAATTGTCGACAGATTTTTACCGTTAGTTCCTGAGTTTGACAAAAAGCACATCGCTAGTGTGACAAGGCGGCAGTGTATGCTCACTTATGGGAATACCAATAGATTCTTAAATACCAGGTCTCCAAAACCCACATGGATATTGTTAATTAGATACTCAGATACATAGAGGATATCTATATAACGTGATTTGCTTTATTCAACGAGTTGAGATTGAGTAAGCCTCGCGAATATACACATTTTCCACTCAGTGTATAAAGTCAGTATCAAATCACACAATCATAAATGTTCAATGTCTCTCATACGATTTTTTTTACAAAACTTTGAAATAACCCCTTCGAAACTATATGAATGATTTCTATCCAAACTTATGACGCATAAATAAATGCCTTTGTACTGTTGATGTTAACATGGCGATGGAACGGAAATCATGTAAAAAAAAATATTTGATATCTGCATTTTTTTTAAAACAATCTGTGTGACAATATGATTAATATTTCTTTCAAACTTTTGACTGAAAGTTGTAAGGACCGAGGGTCGACATTTAATCATATTTAGCTTAATAAAATATTTGCTTTACCATTTATTCTCTACATATGGAACATAATTTTTGAATTTCTTAAGCATTAGAAAAATAAAATTATTTGCCGGGGCCTTCAACTTGACATTTAACTATATCGATGATGTCTTATCAATACAGAATACATGTAGTTATTCGCAGGGGGAATAAGGAAGCATACAAAATATTCTACCTTGGCTAAATCAGTGCTGCATTATGACGTCATAGTAGGCAAGATGACGTCAATTTTAGAAATCAGGTTTTCGTTATATTGGTATTTAGCGATGATTAGAAAATGATTAGAAACGTGTAAACATTAACAGAAATAAAATGTTTTTATTTTGTTATACTGTAACAGTCATTATGATTGAAATCTACCACCGATGACGTCATATGTGTACATCGAGTAACTTGGAAATTGATCATGTCGTGTAAAGAGAATTTGGCTAAGACGGCATGTTCAAAGATACGTAAAATGGAGTTTAAAAGGAAATATTGTATAAAAGTCATATGGAGTTTAATTAATTAAACAGGTATGCTAATTTTTTTCAGCGATTATAATCTCTTTCGAAGACAGTCAGCTATATTACGTATGCCGGTCGGCCTATCGTCCGTCATTCTTGACCAAAAAATGCAACAGAACAACAATAAGCTGGATATTTCAAAATATACGTTTTGTGCAGATTGAAAGTTTGCGTTTTGACAAACTTGGAAAGTGCTGCTAGAATCTCGAGTTAAGCATGGTTGTACGAAAAATCTCGATTCATATGTATAAAATTCAAAACAAAGGGTAAGGTTTCGTGCCAATGTGTGGAATAAATATTTTACGGACAAGATAGTTGGATTCTAGCAGCACTTTTTTGACAAAATAGATGTTTTTTTCAGCTATATTACATACTCAAAGAAATTATCAAACCCCGGGGTATTGTTGTTCTGTAATCCTTTTTATTAAGGAAAATTTTGCTAATAATAGAAGTCACGTGATGCCGTGGCGGTGATGCACGTCTTTGCGTTAGACACGCTTTTATCTGTATGCAATAGTAAATAACAGTTTACGTTTATCAGTCGTTTTTGGTAATTTGTTAAACTAAATTTTCTTCAAAAAGTCTAAATTTCCCGAGAAATTACTAATATGCTTCTTTAACATACCCGCGTTTTCATTCATTAGTCGACACGACTTATCCCAGTGAAGTTGAAAGTGAAGATACCACAGAGTCTGATACATTTGTTTCATACTGGGATATTTTAAAACAAGTAGAACACATTAATGCTAATCTAACAAAGAAGCTTTATGATAAACATGATGACTTTAACTTTTAATCGTCAACTTCCCTTAGTTTTGCAGCAGTGTACCTTTACCATCTGCATATGTAGTTTATCTATCTCAGTTGATTCGATACGTAAATGAATACTTTTCAAAGGAAACATTTTTTAGAAAGAAGCAAGATATTGACAAACAAGTTGATACAAGAAGAATATCAACAGTTTCATTTAAAAGCATCAATTCTAAGTTCTTTGGTCAATACAATGGTCTGTCAGCATAAAAAAATTATCATTATGTCAAATGTTGACTGATAATTTTCATAACAATTGTAAGCCAACTTGGTGTCAGATGTTACAGATACGTTTTAAATGTTGGAAAAGACGCTACAAACCATTATGAAATGAAAAGGCAGAATACATTTTAGAAACTTTATCGACGTTGTTTTGACATTGCAGTGTTATTAACAATGCTCCATAGTAACAAAACATCTTGTTTTTGACATTAGCTAGCATGAGTTCAATTTAATCAATGGAATAAAACTTCACACATCGACAAAATATTTTTTTACGTATGAAAAGGTGTTCATCTTAAGTCTTGATTTAAGATTTGTTGATGTCCTCAGAATGAAAATACATTTTTTGTAATGCATTTTAAGTCCTGGACTACATTTAATCAAATGTTCAAATTATACGAGCGTTGGTTTTTTTTTTTTTTTTTTTTTGTAACAGTTGTTGTTGTTGATGATGTTTTATCGAGGGGAATTGAATAGAAGAATGTTTTTTTTTCCTTCTTCCTTTTTTAAATTATTGAATAATTAACCTGCTCTTTGTTCATGGTCTCCTATTCATTGAGGATTTTAAATTTTATATGCACTGGCTTTTATCTTTAACCACTGCTAATTCGTCGTTGTATTCACAATGTTATAGGAGGCATAAAGGGAGTTTTCTACATCTGTCTCCATTTTATCACCATTGTCTTTTGAGTAGCATTTCCATAAGATTAATGATGACCAGGTCTATTATGACCGGCTCTATAATTATCCTTTGGTAGTTCCTATCATTGTTATTTGGATTCAAATTTGCCATTTATTGAACCAGAGGCTAATAATTCACGGGTACATGTCAGATTCAATAATTGCATCAGAATAAAAAATATCCACTTTATTTGAGAAAGACATTATAGGTCCGTTTTGTATGTATTTCAAAGTTTTTACCATATTATTCAAAAAAAATTTTCAATCCATCCAAAGACAAATAGCCCTATCAATATACTCCTTTTACGAAAGCATAGACTTTTGAATATTGTTAAAAAAAATTGTTATAAGGAACATTTACATGTATTTAGTTTTAAAATGTCATTTGATTCAATGCCGACCTTTGCTGTGTTAGCAATGTGTACTTCAAATACGCACATAAAATGTCTACATATAATAAATCATTGAACATCAATATCTGCAGCCGATTACATACGTATGTACGATAAGGCTTCCCAAAGAATATTGCAGTGTACTCTGTGCATTCACTTCTCTGAACTATAAATGCATGACATCATAATTGAAAATGACGTCAAGTCACTGCCAACTTGAGATGTATTGATGGGGAGAGTGTCAAACTTTACACCGTATTTCAATCTGCATATAAAGTTTCAAAAAACTAGATGATTTTGTTTCATTTCTCTTGTTTAAAAGATAGCGTGTTCAAAATATGTATGAGAATATACGTTTGATATTTGACTTTTTTTTATACCCATGGTTACAGTGCTGCTATCCTATAAGTTGACAATTCTATCCTATCCTATCGTGAATCCTGCATCCACAATCCTATCCTGTGATTTCAGTCTAATCCTATCCTATCCTATCCTGTGACTCTCAGTTTTTTAATATATAGGAATTAATTTGACAAAACGAAAAAAAAAAAGAATTACCAGAAATAAAAATCAGATATAGTTATGGTATTCATTCAAATGTTATATATTTTAATGGAGAAAAATAATCGAGATCGGCATTCCATAATTCCCGACTGACCGCACAATTTAAATTTACGAATTATCATTACCATG